AATGGTTAAGCTAACCGACGGTTAATTCCAATGGAATTATCCAATCGCATTTGTCTTTGACCAGAATAAACCAATCACGGTTGACACTTTAACCGTCGGTTAGCTTAACCGACGTTGGTGAAATTGGCCCTAAGGATCTCTTTCACCAAGCTTGATTAAGCTAACCGACCGTTACATAGTTGCTAACTTGAGGACTATAAACTATAAACGTGTTTCGCTTTGTCAGATCTTAACCTCTTCCTTTGGTGTAATATGTACAGAAATACAAGTTATAAAAATACAGATTAAAAACATTTCTTCCTTCTCTAATAACGAATTGTGTTTAGTCCTCATGTTGGCAACCATGTAACGGTCGGTTAGCTTAACCGAGGTTGGTAAAAGAGACTCTAAAAGAACCAAGTGGATATATTATACTAAGAAAATAAAGAAAGTTATAAAAAACTAAATATTTCATCAGTAAAAACGATATATGATAATTATTGAAAAGTCAGGAAAATTCAGAATCTTATCTTTTACGTAAGAAATACTGTCACATTCAAAATTGTTGAACACTCTTATAAATTTTATAATTCTTAGTATATATAAAGACAGATTAATAAATTAACGAGTTTTTAAAACGACGATGTTAAAAAATAAGTATATTTTTGTAAAAAAAAAAAAAGTAAAAATAAAAAGTTCTAACTTATAAAAATGTCTATGTAGATCAAAATAAATATAACAAAGTTTGTTGTATTTACTTCAAATAAATAATTTGTTTATAAATAAAATAAATTCAACAAACTTTATTGAATAAAAAGTTCATTAACAGAACCAACATTTTATTTTTAAATAAACTATTATTGGCTATATGTTCAGCAAACAAAGCAGCTTTGCAACTGTTGTAAGATTCTTTAATATGACTGGTTTATACATTTATGTCCAGCAAGAAAGCAAGGTCATGGTCAATTATATTAAAGACTTTTACAACAGTTGCAAAGCTGCTCTTTCTGCTGAACGCCAATGTTTCATATTTATTGCGCTTCCTTTTGTTGCGTTTCCTAACTTCTGCAATTCTTTTCTAGTTTCCTGTGAATGGATTTCGTTATTTGTCCTAAATCTTCCATAATCGTAATAAGTCCTGTTTCAAAGTGAATTTTACGGATCCTTTTCTTTAAGCGAACTTATTAATGTTCAATCAGGTTGAGGTCAGAACTTTGTGGAGGCCATTTTACGACATTGATTTTTTTATAAACTGCGTTACACTAACATGACAAAAAATTCTAAATTTTAATAAATAATTTATTTGAATAGTTCTAAAAGTAAATATTTACTAAATATAAACATATATTTGATATAAAAATCCATTAATTTAACTATAATATTTTTGAGTAAATATTTATTTATACTTCAAGTAAATGTTAATATAATATATATTAAGATTTAATAATTTCTTTAATGTAAGAAAAAGGCCAATTATCCGAGATTTTAGTGTCTGATAATATTTTTATGTAAACATTCTAAATATTGTACATCATTCAGTTATATAAACGGCTAAAAAATGAAAACGATCAATAACGACCACTCGGTACTCCTAGTGTTAGACACACGCGCACACGTCGATCAAGAGCGCGAAGAGACGCGACCTCATCGGTCCCGCGATAATTGTGACGCAATAAAAACATGGTAAACCAGTTTTTCCCACTCATCGGGCCAGAAGTCGGGAAAACGGGGCGAAACGTCCAAGAGTCCCCGCTCGCTCGTTATTTCGAGTCATTTTATCGCGATTATTTTGATAAGCTCGCGAGTGCTATCGCACCCGACTGGCCGTGAAAAGCGGCGCGCGAGGGTGGTTAGGTCAGGGACATCCACCGTGAAGGGACGCGCCACTCCGAAATCATTATATCGGCGCGCTATATCGTTGCGCTCCGCGCACACGTTTTTCTATAGCAACAAGTGTTTGCATCGTCGCTCATCGACCTAGGCCCGAGGGATTACTGGAGAGATTAAACTACGTCGTAACTTCACCCCAAAGAGTCCCTCTCCCACCCGGGAGACTCTCCGAAAAAGGTGATCCACTTCACGCAACACCTCCGTGTTCGGCTTTCAAACGGTGGATGGGTACTAACTCTGTGCAAATATCGGCGACTGCGCGAGATCCGCGTAGAGGAATTGCCACGGTAACTCGCGTACTCGCGTCGAGAATGTTGCGTGTCCGTCGATTGTGCGACACGACAGACGTTCACGCTCGAAAATGATGACAATTCATTGGTCGCACCCTCAGAAACGCACGCGTTAATCGAGCGCTATCGGCGTCTTTATAGAAATTTGATACTCCAGCAAAATTTCCGGTTAAAAATGAACAAACCGGAAGATTCTAATTACATGTCAATCCGAATTCTGATATTATCTCAATTAAAATTATAATAGATTTTCAACCAGAAAATTCTGATTCGTCTGTATTTTCAACCAGGATTCTAATTGATGCAGTCAGACTCTTTTTCCAGTATGGAAAAAAAAAGACGCAGGGATTAATTACTTATTTTAAATATTAAAGCACTGTTATTTTAACCTTTCAGTCCTACTCTATATACCGTTTTATCAGCTGTCTACCATACGAGATATTATAACTATTCTTTTTCAATCAACACGTTAAAGAACATAACGACAACAAGCAAAGTAGATATTAATAGAAAAGTACGTTATAACGCAATAAAGGATTTAAACTTCGAGAATGTCACACTGTGGAGTCCGGTTTTTCATTTTCTAATTAACTTGTAGTTAGACTTAACTTAATGTAAAAATTGTATTTTCTATGCTTGCATGCATTTCTTTTTTTAGCTAATCACTAAACTGATAATTTTGTCGTAAGTAACTTTTTAAGTTATCACTACAAAATTATTAGTTTAATGATTACTTATGGCTAGAAAAATACAATTTTTACATTATCAAGTGACGAGTAAATTTAAAACACAAGTCAACCAAAAAATGAAAAATCCAACCTAGAAAGTATTAACCAAAGAATTAATATTTTAAATGGATTTAATAAAAAGAAATTTCCAGTATTTTTTTTTTTTTAATTCTATTTCCGTATAAGAGCTCATTGTACCGATCTCGCGGGAAAGGCCGATCGATTTCTTGGACACGCACTCTTGTCTTCGCTCTTCCTCTCTCCCTCTCTCTCTCTCTCTCTCTCTCTCTTTCGAGAGAGCGAGCGAGCGAGAACACTTAGAAAAAAAATTCACCAAGACGGAAGAGCTCGTGGCGAGCAGAGAGAGGTGACAGGTGCGAATTGGACCGACTTCTCCGAGAGATACACGTTGACGTTTGTTGTTCAGTAACGGTAAGCGGCGGCGAGAAGTGATTCCGCGCGGATTACGGTAGAGTCCGAATAGCGGCGAAGAACCTCGGTCGCGAGGACTCCCGCGAACATTAAGAGAGACGAGAGGCGCAAACGCGGGAGACTTGCCACGGCTGTCGTCAGCTTCCTCGGCGGTCACCCGACGCCAAGCTCGGTAGCTCGTGCTCAACTGGATCACACCGTCCAGGCCGGCGCCCGACGACGGTTCGTCGAGGCTCGGCGACACACACGTTGTGTGTATGAAATTTACGGCGCATCGCTTATGTGCGCGCACAACGGGAAGCGCGCGGACGCAAACGCCTCCTCGGGGGCCGACGACGCCGCCGTCATAAGTCGAGCAATTAATTAAATTCACCGCGCAAATTATCTTGAGTTTTTAAGAATCCCCACGTGAAAAGGAAAATGGTCCAGGCAGGGCAAGAGCGTCCTTGAATGACGTTACTTCCTAGGGATCGGCAAGTTAGCGAGTCCAGATCACGACGTTCACAGTTCTCAGTATCAGTCGTGGCAACTATCACGCACGAGATAAGGACGTCGATAAATATGTTTAAATATGTACTTAGCGCCTCCATGGGAAGGTAAAAGTAAACGGGAAGAAACAAAGAAGGGAAAGGAATCGAGACTCATGAAATAATAGTATCTAATAGAAATGAAACTCCCTCTTTCTATAACTGCGTACGAGGAAGACCGAGATAATAATAATATTAACATATTTATTCCCCGCTCTCGTGCCAATAAGTACTCTTCTCTATGCGAGCGGAATAATCCTGATAAATGTTACTCGAGAGAGAATTTTCTTAAAAACAAAATACGAAATGTCGACTGTATGTATCTATGTTTTAGATATCATACAATTCAATTGCGCGAATTGAATTGTACAATATCTTAAAGCTCCTTGAAAAGACTCACACAATGGAGGAAATATTAAGGGCAGGAATAAATATTAAATATTAGAATTTATAAATATATATATATCATATATATATATATATATATATGATATATATATATTTATAAATTCTAATATTTAATATTTATTCCTGCCCTTAATATATATATATATATATATAGGAATAAAGATTAAACGTAACGCTCAATAACTACAAATAAAATGTAAGACATATTATATGTTTTATATTTGATTTGTATCCGTCAAAATAATATTAAACATTAGAGACAAAAAATTAATGCATAATGGATACCTATAGATAAGATATAAATCATATCATGTCATTTTATTTGTGTCCATTGTGCGGTACATTTAACAATCTCTCTATTCGTAATTTTTTTATTTTTCTAATATTTTATATTTATTCCTATTTGTCTTCCATTGTGCGCTACAGGATATAAATAAATAAAACGAAATACTGAGAGAGGAGATGTAATTGCAGGTCCTCCATTGAACGGAACCTGCAATCTCGTATAGATAATTTATCAATGCGCGGTAAATTTACTGAAGTGCACTAGTTTATCATCAGCAGAAAGTGTCCTTATCGACGTTTGTAAATCAGATATCTGTCTCGCTACGGTAAAGCAGATTGCGAACTGATGCGAATGTAAAATTAATTTATAATACTGTACTGCGACTTTTAGCGTCACATTTGCGCAAATGCATGTATAATTTGAGGAGCTTTTTGCAATCAATAATTGGCAATCAACTTGCCCCTCGTGCGTCCCTGAAGAGTATGGCAGCGTGAACCGGATCCAGGCAAGCATCGGATGCTCGATGAGGTATCGCGGGTGCTCCGAGGGATAATCTCCGTGCCGTTGGATCTAATGAACTTCTTCTATATGCACCTGAAACAAAGTAGATTGTATGTAAAAAAAGATAACGTAAAACTGAGAGAAAATTTTGTTATGCAAATAATTATATTATAAGTAATATATTAAATTATTTATCTTTCTCTATTATAAGGATATAAATAATTCTATATTATTTTTATTATAATAATTATAATATTATTACGAAATATTAATAACATATATTATTTACATAATCAATACATTATATATTAATAAAATACATATTTTATGTTATAAAATACAAATATAAAGATTGAGACTGCACGTGCAATCACGCCACAGTACATTCGTACTGGTCATTATTTTGTAGCTATACGAAATAAATTTAAGTACTAAAAAAAAATACATCGATATTATAGATACAGTGATATATGTAAAAAATAAGATCATCGATACTTCATGTATCCTGTGCGATCAAACTGTGAACCATCGAAATATAATATTTTATCGCAGACTTTATACTAGACTGATCAAATATAACTGTATCTCGTAAATTATTATATTTATTCTTCGATAATTTCACTTGGATACTTCTCGCGGAATAATAAAAGAAACGATCTATACAGAGAAAAGTAGGTATATTACCTGTAAGAGAAATGTATAAAAAAAGAAAACTAATCTTTTTTCGTAAAATAAAAGTTTATATTTATTTCATTAATACCGTGATCCTATATAAAGAGAACGATTTCGCTGCAGTATCTAAAAAATCTAAAAAATCAATTACACAGTAAAAAGCATTTTATGTTTGCATTAAAATCAGTCCACTCAAATTCTTTTTAAAATTTTGTGTTAAATTGATATTCAACATTTCTTAGAACAAAAATAACATAATTTATGAGCAAATAAACAAATAACGTAAAAATAATGTATTTTAAAACGTAAAGTTTAAGATAACCACACACAAATAAAATACGTGTTAATTTAACGTATTATAAATGTTAACTTACTTAACTGAATAAGAGATAAATTCACAGTTTGCTTATGAATTATGTCAGTATTACATTTTTGTGTTAATTTTTTCACATAATATTTATGGTATTCCTAACATAATTTCACCTTGTGTTAAATTAATTATGACAGACGCTCAAACTGGTTACCGAAATATCGTCACGCTTAATTATTTCCTAATTATTCTAATAATCCAGCAAAATTATTTCCTGCATCTAACTAAATTTTTAGATAGATATATACTTCAGCAAAAACTAATCGTGCACCAAACATATATGTCAAGTTTGAATCACTCGACTTTGATCATGTTATGTTTCTATCATTGTAAACAGTTTTAATGGTTACAATTAATCCAATCGTCTTGGATTTCGATCATAATAGCCCATGTAATGTTAGACAATTTATCGACAGATGCGCGAAATTTGTCATTGTGATTATTACGTAAGACATGACTCGTTATTTACATTCCTACTATGTCCGAAGAAATATGACCGAGTCTGACTTACGTCCGTTTGATGTATCTTTTTACTGACGAGATCGTATATCATAAACTTCTGAGACGCCTCCTTTTGAAATTCGTGCCGATTTCAACCAAAATAATTTTATGCTATTTATCCCATCTATTAATTTCTCGCATCAGACCAAGAAAAATTATGTAATAATGTATCTGTTTGTGATAAATGTGAATATATCATAGTAGAGCCGGAACAAGTATTAATTTATGTAAATGAGTCTTATCTGCATTTATGTAGAAAAAAAAACATTGCTAGTCTTACGTAATTATGTATTTATCGAATCACTGTTGAATCCTGCATAAAGAAGCAGGTTTTTATCTACGTAATATTACCAGTTTTCTTTCAAAGTGTAATCACCTGCACTGTTACATATCAAAGAAGTAGTGTGATAACATATTAAAAAATCATTGAGTTAAATAGCATTTTGTAATATTTGATTTTTAATAATAAAGTTAGAAACAGGACAGATGTATGAACAAATCAACTAAATAAAAACTAGCGCTGAATATGGTTAAAGATGAGAAAAACTAAAAAAAAATATACAGGGAAATACGAGTCAACATAATAACTGATGTGCAATATAATAATGTGAATATTTTTAATTGTTCATAAACGATGACATATTTTGTATGTATACGTTTATAGACAATTAAAAATATTTATATTATTATATTGCATACCAATTACTATGCTGATTCTCCCCGTATATTCTTATCTTTATTTATATATGTAGAAAAGTCTGATATAAATTTAATATGAGGAAAAATAACATCTATACACATATATTTATTTTTAGATAAACATGTTTCAAATATATAACTGCACGCCGATTATTTTCTATTAGCTTTTTAAATCAGCGATCGTATTTAATTTATAAGATTATTAATATTATTTCAGTTTATGTTGTAATTCCGAAAGTAATTGGCGTGCAATCACATATATCCAAATTAAATATATTTAAAATAACAGAATACAGAATTATTATTCCAAAATTTAATTTTGATAGTATTTGATGCTTCTTATTTACTTGTTTTAACTTTCACGTATATCAAAATGTGTGTAGGTAGATCAATTATAATATTTCTATGGTCAGATATAAAGTAAACAACGTTCATACCAATATTATATGCACTTACAATTAGCATGCACTTTGTAGTAAATAATAAATTTAATTTAATGTAAAATTATATATAAATTTTTGAGTTAAATTGTTTAACTCCATTGTTTTAGTTATAAATTAACGTCATATTTAATATAACAGGAGCAATCTATAGAAATAATTAAAAATAACTCAAATTGGATATAATTTGGTAATAGTATGAAAAAACGCGGACTTGGATTTCTTTCCCGTTTTTGCATTTATCATGCAATTAATATGCATTGCAATGGAAAGAATTTGCTGAAACATATAAAAACTTAGGCAGATCTGAAAAAATATTTGTTGGATCATCAAAATAATTATATAGGTCATAAGAAATTCAAACATGATAAACATGATGCAAAAAATTGTAATGTTCTAACATTCAGAGTTAGAGCATCCTATATAATATTATTTTAAGTCCAACAAAATTTATTTTCAGATCTTTATCTAACTAAAATTTTTAGATACTTCAGTAAAAACTGTTCTTTCATAAATGAACATCAATAACCGATGTACTGACTGCAAAAAACGTTTAATATTCATCAAAAACTGTACTCTAAAAGATATTGGTATAAATTTACAACGCGGTGTCTATATAATTCTCACCATGTTGGTGTTAATTAATATTCATGCCAACATGATATAGATTTATAACCTCTGGTATTTATATCAACACCATCATGGTGTAAATTTAAAATCCGTGGTGTTAAATCCACACCATGTTGATATTAATATTAAAAGAATTATAATACATGTACATCGTGTAGTATTAATTAAATCCACACGATATTTTTTAGATTGTGTTGATGGCATGTGGTAATTATCTCGTAAAGTAGAACGAGAATCGAAATTGGAGCTACTGACCACACTGGAGGGAACCTCCTCGGAACCTGGGACTTGGAATTTTATTTTTTCTCGGCGAAGGCCATTCGCGCACGTTTCTACGATTAAATACGCTTCCTCAGCGCAACACGTTCGAGCGATATCCCGCTTTATCGGCGCAGTGTTTATTTCACGAGCGCGTTTCGCGATACGCGCGCTCAATAACGGGCGGATATTTGCGAATAGTCGAATTGTCGCGACAAATTTCGCGAGAAGCGATTGTATATTATTCAACAAATTAGTACGCTAATTGGCAAGTTCTTCAGTCGCCGCCTTGAGAAATAAATGGCGAGATATAAATGTACGCGTTTGTCTCGCTCGCGGGAAATGTGAAAGATCAACTTGTGAAAGATTAATTAACATTGATTATAGCTGAGAAAAAAATGTTGCGCAGTAAAAGCAATTTCAGCGTAAAAACATAACAAATCGAGAATTTTTATTTTGTTACCTTGATTGAAATTAAAAATGTGTTACACATATACAATATGAGAAAAAATGTACTAAATTTTAATGAATATTCATTTAATAGTACTCATTAAATAGTACTAACTGATATTTACTAATTGTAAATATTTATTTATTGTTCGGTACAAAAACCATTAATTCAATTTAATTATCATTTTTATTCAGTAAATATTTATTTACCATAAATAAATATAAAATTCGTACTATCAAGCAAGTATTTATTAAGATTTAGTTTTATTTTTTTTAAGTGCATTTCTTTATAAAATGAGAAAAATTATTAAGAGATATTACAGATTTTTCTATATTGTATTTGAAAATAATTCAAATAGTTTGACGATTATTTAGAAATTAGAACCTGTATCAAAAATTATTTGAATTTGAAATGTTTTTAAAAAATAATTAAAATATTTTTATTAAATTCTGCCCTTTGACAACTGATATTTTTAATTTTTATTAAAACTATATAAAATTAAATTTATTAATTATTATTGAACATTAAATATTAGTAAATATTGAATTGTTTTGTATATTAATTTTTATACAAGTATAAAATTTCCAATTTCAATCACTTTTTGCAGAAACTGTACACCTTATACATTCTTAAACTATAGAAGGTTTTGCTAAATTATGAAAAACATTTAACAAATACTCATTTAAAAATACTTTTGTTAAACTATCAAAATAACTATGTAGAACGCTCATGACGATAACGATAATGTTAAAAACTTTTTGCAAGGTTGTTCATCATGTTTGAATTTTTAAAAATTATTTTCAGATCTGTGTATTTAGTGTTTTAAATACATCAGTAAAATCGTTCTTCCTGTACGCGAGAATTTCTAGGAAAACAACTTTCAATCTCGTTTTTACAAATACTTAAGATTAATAATAAGCCGTTATACGCTTGTCGCAATTGTCATAAGCGGTAATATAACGGCGGTCAGGTCAAGGCAAGCTTATACCACCAATAATCACCGAGCTTTATGAAGGCTGAGCTTTGCGGGATGAAGCGAATCGAATGACTGTGCTAGAAATAGAATCGAAGA